CCATAAACTACCATGTGTAGCCGGCAGCCAGAGTGAGCGGCCAGCAGCCGCAGTGAGCGACCGTCCAGAGGCTGGCAACTGATCTGCCTCACCCGAGAAGAGCGCAATGGTGGTGCCAACTTGGGCCAGTGAAGCAACGTCCTCCACAACTAGACTGAAGAACAAAACAACAGCAACTTGTCTGTTCCCCTTCCTCCGATTCCCCAGCGCTGTCCCCCTCCCCCAACTCCCCAATAAAATCTTTAAAAAACCCAAAAAACAAAAAACTTAGGCAACATGAACTTTTTGCCAACAACCCATGGTTCTTGCATGACAACAATGCAGCAGGTCACATGGCACTCTCTGTGAGGGAGTTTTTAGCCAGTAAACAACTGTATTGAAACACCCTGCCTACTCACCTGATTTGGCTCCCAGTGACTTCTTTCTTTACCCAAAGATAAAGGAAATATTGAAAGGAAGGCATTTTTATGACATTCAGGACAAAGGGTAGGTAATACAGTAACAGCTCTAATGGCCATTCCAGAAAAAGAGTTCCAAAATTGCTTTGAAAGGTGGACTAGGTGCTGGCATTGGTGCATAGCTTCCCAAGGGGAATATGTTGAAGGTGACTGTAGTGATATTCAGCAGAGATAGGTAGCGCTTTTTCTAGGATGAGTTTGTGAACTTAATTGTCTGACCACGTATAATGTTATTAACCAATGTCACCCCAACAAATTTAACAAAAATTTAAAAAAAATAAAAAGGACAAAAACATAAAAAAGAAAGAAATGTTGAACTGATTAATCAGAATCCAGGACCCTCACTGGGCTGTTTAGAACTTAGGGGTATCAGTAAGATGCTCTCAGGTCATCATCTTCCCGGCTTAAGTGACTGTAGCTTTTAGTCTCACTGGAGTGGAAAATTCAACATTGTATTTTAAATTTAAGAGCTCTGGATTGACATTTGGAGCCACAGCACCAGCTACTGAAGTATTATTTTGCTTACCTTCACCTCCATTGTGGACCTTACAGAAAGGGCAGTGAAGCCAAGGACAAATTTGGGTATCTCTGGGTCTTTTGATTTAATAGCATCCTAATCTCATCTCTTACTAACACCCCAATTTCCCCAACCTCCAACAAAAGTACAAGAGCCTAAGTCCTAACACTGAAAACAGTAAAAGGAATGCAATCAGGAATATGTCAGTAAGAAATATGAAATCTGAACCATGAATAAAAACGTGGAAGAGTCCAGCAGACAGCAGGTTGTCATTCTAGAAGATCTATTCCTATGTTGCAGAACCCTTATGAGAAGGCCAAGGATGTGAAAAATGCTGACTTGCACTCAGAGCTACCCAAGATTTGCTAGTGGCACACTAAATGGAATTTGATAGGAAATGCAAAAGGTCTTGGTAGATCGGAGGAAGCAACTCTTTAGTGATCCAAATCTTGTTTTGATAACTAACACCACTGTCTTGTGTTCCTAGATTTTATTTGTTGTGTATTTCACAGTAGATTCTCATCCATTTTATTTGTTCCCTTATAAACTGACCTTGATTCTGATTAATTGCACACTAACAGTTTCATGTGACAGACCCAGATTCTTTCCTGAATAGACAGCCCCTGTAGCAGAGGCAGTAATGTAAAACATTTCATTTGTTCCCCTACATTTGGCAGCCCTCTCTTGCATATACACTGGATCACATGACTAGTTTGGGACAATGAAATATAAGTGGACGTGGCATGTCACTTCTGGGCTGAGGCAATGAAGTACCTACATGAGCTTCTCCAGCACCACTTTTTTCCCTACAGAGGTAGCTGAATGAGCCACATGTCCCAGATGGTGAAGCTACAAAACAGCGGAGCCTCAGTAAACCCGGAACCTCTTGAGTAACTCTATGGAGCAGATCCCCACCCCCCATTCTCACATCCCTCTCATCTGCAATGGGATCTGTAGTGTGAGCAAGAAATAAACACTAAAATTTCTGACACTGTGAGATTGTTTGTTATTTGAGCATAATTGTATTCCTATAGAAGACAGCCTCCCTTCTTTGGCATGCATAGTGCTTATTTCATACTTTTAACTTAGTTGTTAATAAACCTACAGACTCCTCTGAACTAGCTCTATGGAACAGAAGATCACACACAAGTCAGCAAGCAAGGCTTTAACTTTCAACCAAACACACAGTAGTGAGCAATATAATTCAGTAAACACAACTATTTTCTACTGCACAAAAAACAGGAAATAAATTTCTTATAGACATTTCTTTATTATATTTTCCCACTTGAATATTTAGAGAATAATTTAAATGTAATTCATACTGACAGCAAGCACAGTATCAAATATTAGGTTTTTTTAATATTTTTCTGTTCTCACCCTTTATTCCTTTAGGAAAAAAATATTTAGATGATCTCAAAGAAACAATTATTATGCTAATCACAGTATGCAGTAACACAAGCCCATACTCAATAGAAAATAAAGCAACAAAGAAGTGAAAAAGTCTTTCTCCTCAAATCATTTTAATTCATTTTTCCACAGCCATATAAATTTAAGGTATGAAACAACAATAATACAGCTATAGAATCTAGGTTCTCTTTCAAAGCAGCGGCATATAAAACATAGAAAAGCTAAAACCTCAGCACAAGCTTCAAAAGAACAAGGACTGAGAGGATTTGATGAAGACATGAAATGCACAAAATACAGTACACAAAAATACTAGAATGCATAAAATATAAAGCTACACATTTCAGGTAGAAAGCATTGTAAAATATATAAAATATGCAAGAAATCAAAACCAAAAAGATTTTTCTTAGAGTACCATGAATACACTGGAACTGGCAATTAGCATTTGAAGATGGGAACAAGAAAATAGCAGTTTCCCATTTAAAACTTTATTTCTAGGCTTTAGGATTTCACCTTCTTGACATCCTTCTTTCCAGAGCTCTCAGTAGCTGACTCTGCTTTTCTTTTCTGTGACTAAAATGGAAACAGATTTAATGTTCTGCTCCAATATGCACATTTTTAAATGGCCCAACAATGTTAAATCTAGGATGTAAATGCATTAAAAAAAAATTTTAACATGAATATTCACTTAAATGTTATACTCACAGTTAATGTTCTATATAGCCCGACAAACTACATAACCCAATGTAAAATAACCTTCAAAGATGTTTCTTTTTAAGACATAAAATATGCATCAAAAATAGTCATCAAGTGTCTACTTTCACATAGTACTATAAACGTACTCTTATCTTAAAGATCTACTTAATACTTCAAGTTTTCTGGGTAAAATGTTGTTTATGAGTGTATTATTTTGAAAAACTGTAAAACAGATGTTAAAATACCACATTTCATATATTCTATGATGCACATTTCTTTCCCACTTTAACATCTCTGAAATCAGAATGCATCTTACAATTGATCACAAATTATAGTTAATTGGCAACAGTTTTTCTCCATGGTACATAAAATAATGCTGTGTCTTACAGTGGAAGGCATCTTAGACTTGATGAAATATGGTAGTTTACATAACTGCACTTAAATAACATGATCTATTAAAGACTATTTTAAATTGCAGCTATACACGGCAGCCTGACTGGATTGAAATCAAGTCATCTTATTATTCAACAGTTAACTTAGTAGTAAGTACACCAAGTAAAGCTTTGCTGTCTGCTCAAAGTTCTCATTTGCACTCATAGCTCCACAAATATCAGAAAACTTGTTTATCATATCAGAACTCCCTGTTTGAATTTCAGCCCCAACCCATCCCATCCCACCTCCCTCCTACTACTCCCCACAACTTGTCTCAATTCGAAGGATTTTACTTGAATTATACTTTTGCTTAAAGTCATGAGGAATTTTTAAAAATACTGAGCCCTGTTACTAGGGAGTTCCTGACCATATGTTCTATAAACAAATAGGAAACATGTGGTTGTAGTTTAATTATTTTTCTGTCAAAAACAAATTAGCAGTTCATAAAACCAGTTTTTATAATAGGTATCACTATAGCATTAAACATAATATAGGCATTTTAATTATGTAAAAAAATGGGATCTACCTAAAAGTTAGGAAAATGCTGAAATTTTTACCATTGGAATTTTAGTTGCCCGTTTCTTCTTTTCTGCTCTCTCTCTTTCCTCAATTTCCATATTTTCTTTCTCAATCAATGAAATCAGAGTATTACAGCGTCTCTGGAATTCCTAAACCAAATAAGAAAGATTTTTAATTTCTGAAACCCAGGAATAATCTTTAAAGAGTGATTATTCTTTAATTGTACTATTTCTGTGGTATAGAATTTCTAAAGTTGGTGTTCTTCAGAACAATATTCATATGATTATTAATAGATTCAACCAAAAAAAGATGGGGAGTGGGTAAATGTCACATATACTATGAAATATTACTCAGCAATAAAAAACAAAGAAATTCTTGGTACACACAACAATCTAGATGAACCTCATAGGAGTTACGCTGAGTGAGAAAAGCTAATCTGAAAAGGTTACATACCATATTATTACATTTGTATAACGTTCTTGAAATGACAAAACTTTAGAAATCGAGAACATAGCCATGGTTGCCAGGGGCTAGGGAAAAAGGGGAGAGTAGGCGTGGCTATAAAGACCTAGCACAGGGGAGTCTTGTGGTGGTGCTGGTTACATGAATATACATGTGATAAAACTGCACTGATCTACACGTAGACAAGTACATGTATAACCGATGAAATATGAATAAGCTCTATGGATTGTACTAATGTCGGTCTGCTGGTCATGACATTGTACTATAGTTATACAAGATGTTAACATCAGGGAAACCTGGATGAAGGGTGCCTAGACCTTGCTTTACAACTTCCTGTGAATGTATAAATATTTCAAAATAAAATGTTAACAAAAATCACATAAACAAGAAAATAATAATACGGGGATATCCTATTGCCAAAATAAGTTTTGAAAATATTCACTTTAAAAAAGTCGAACGGATTTCTTTACTACAGGGCTCCTCAGAGACTACAAGGTCCTGACGAGTACTGTCAACCATCAGGTAGGAGACGCAGAATGCAACCAATAGAACTCTCTTCTCACAGGACATCTTGCGGGATCAGAGTTCTGAGGAGCAAATCTCAGGAGACACTGCTGCATTTGTTAATTTGGAGCAAACAATAGTTAAGAAGATTTCACATTATCTATCCTTTCCACTACTTAATATTTCACTGCCAGCAAAACAATGCATCCAATTATAAAGTTTTTATGAATGTATGGTGAGCATTAAACATTTGATTCATTAATAGAGACACTCATATAATAGTAACCATGTATACTTTGCTGTATTTTAAAGGTAAATAACAGCTTAATATAAAAAATAAATAACATTTTAAAATATGATTCCTCTTCTGTATAAGCAAAAATATCTGATAAAATACAAAATAGCTAAACATTCAAATGAAAATGTAGGTTTATTAATTAAAAACCCCAACAGAAAAATTGTCGAAGTACAAGAATAAAAAAACTCATAATTAAAATGTCAAATATTAAAAATTTTCTCACTCAAACTAATGATCAAAGAAATGTAAAGTAAAACAATGTCATCTTTATCAAATTAGCAATGATATATGCATGCATGTGTGTGTGGTGTGTGTAAGATGGTGAAATAAGAACACTCACTCACTGATGACAAGATGTCAATTTTATGGACTGAATTGTGTCCCCTCAAAATTTATATGTTGAATCCTTAGCACCCCCACAATGCGACTGAATGATAAGGCCTTTAAGAAGGAAATTAAGGTTAAATGAGGTCATATGGGTATGGGCCCTAACATGATAGGACTTGTTTTCTTAGAAGAAGGGGAAGACACTCAGAGATACCTATCTCTCTACACTTGCACAGAGAAAGGAACATGTGATGACACAATGTGAAGGTGCTATCTACAGGCCAGGAAGAAAGGTCTCACCAGAAATCAACCCTGCTAACACCTTGGTCTTGGACTTCGAGTCTCCAAACCTGTGAGAAATATCTGTTTAAGCCACCTGCGGACTAATACACTACCGTGTATATACCTGGGGTGCAAAAAAAAGTATACAAGTAGACCCTTTAGTCAACATTGCTCAAGCAGTAGTTTGCCATAATCAGAAGTGTCTGGGCGCTGATGGTAACCACTTTGAGCACCTCTTGTAATTGCGGAAGTCAAACGTGACTTGTATTCATCTTTTGTTATCAGTATATAATGAGTATTACAATTTTAATACGGTTTTCTTTTTTTAAAATGTGTATACTTTTGGCACCCTTTGTGTGTGTGTGTATATATATATATATATATATATATATATATATATATGTGTGTGTGTGTATGTATGTGTGTTTGTATATACACATATGTGTATATACATACATACACACAAATAAATAGCTGAGTGAATATTAACTACAGCATTACTAGGGTTAACAGCAACTATCTGTAGGACCAATAAGTAACTTATATTTTTGTCTTTATACTAGCTTATATTTTCCATATTTTCTGCAATGAACATTTAGGTGTTGGGCAATCTGTAACATTTTTAAGAAATGGCAAATGTTTATTTAAAGACAGTTTTATCTTTCTAAATAAAAGCCAGAAAAATGGCATACAACATAAGAAATGTTACATATAGAAATATTATCAATTATCTAAGCATTTTCTACTCTCTAAAAGTCAAGTCAAAAAACAAAGACAGTCTAGCCAGAAAAAAATACTCATTAACAAGTTATTATTTAACTATTAAAAATAACCTTACAAAACACTGGTACATTCAAGTGTCATGCGCATCTTCAATTACCCAAAGTTAAACAATTTAGGAAAAATAACACTGGAATTTTCCTTACTTACCAAAACTATATTGGTATCCTTCATAGCTTTATTCAATAACACACGTACAAATTAAACAGCATGTTATTCAATTTATCTGTTATACAAAGGGCTAAGTTGACCCTGATGAGATTTGATTGCTGGTTTCTAAGGAGACTAGATGGAGTCCATTTGAAGCTGACTTCTTGAATCATTATGCTATACCTTCTGACTATTATTATTCTCAATAAATATATTTGCCTCTGACTATAGATATCTTTAGATACATATTCACGGTTCATATGGGTGATTCAGGAAAAAAACACTAATACTTTTGAGAGAGTCTCATGCAGAGAAGTAGAATGTGTCAAAACGACTATAAATACATAAGTTCTTACCTTCATTTCTTTTTATCTGTCACTACTCCAGATATAGAAAAATAATCTGATTAGAGAAAAGCACCAAGGAATGGAAGAGTATGAATGTTACCTTCCTAGCACAGGTGATGCACTTTCTCTAGAGATATCAACCCCACTTTTTATTCACACATTTAAGACTGCTTAACTAAACAGAAGGCATCATAAACAGAACACCATAAACAGAAATTACAAGTAGAAAGGCCAGATTACCAATAAAACAGTGATGCACTTTTTGAATAACTGCGTGACTGTGAAATGACGAGAAATTTTGTGATGTCAAAAACATTTTCATCTTACATAATTTTTCCTTTCACATACATATTCTCCTCAATTCTTAATAGCTATTTATCGTCCTATTTTCCTGAGCTTACAGGAAGTGGCTCATGTGGTCTCAAACTGTTTCTACAATTCCACAGTTTAATTATCTCTTTCACTCAGCATTTCTCCACACTGGATTTAGGAATGAGGTTGGAGAGAGAAAAATAGCACACAAGAGGAAGAGAGAAGATACAAAAATAATAAAGACAAAAGAAAAATGACAAAGGAAAACTGTTCTGCAATGTTAATGGTTGTGGCCAAAGAAAAAAGCATTTTGTGTTCACTCATGTGTGGAAATGCTGGATTTTAAAAAAGGTTAAACAAATTTCTTCATGGCTGGACTTCTCAGAGCTTTTCACATTCTAATGTAGATTGGAGGTGTCCAGGGCAGGATTCAGTATCAGCATTTCCCAAATCTATTTGAACACAGAACGCTTGTTCTGCATATCATCTATCTGCATATCCTACTACAATGTTTGGTAGAAGCCAACTGGGGAAATGCTGTGCAGGATAAGAATGATGGAGAAGTCTATGTTTGGATCAAAGTACCAAAAAACAGAAACTAAGTACAAAGAACTAAGGAATTTTACTTAATTCAGTTAACAAAGGATTTCATTGACGATTTTTGAGCAGGAGCAGTGATGTAATCAGGAATGCATTTTTGTACTCAGAAATCTTCCCTTGATACAGGTTCTCAATAGTGAGAGTTCATAAAATTATAGACTCTCAAGATTAGAAAGGGCCTTTAAAAATCATCCAAGGTGATGCCTGAATCCCTTCCGCTAGGTCCTTGTTAATTAGTTGTCCAGCATGTCTGAATTCTTCCAATGATGGGGGGTACTTTCTACCTCCAAAGGCTTATTCCACTTTTGGACAAGTTATAAATGTTTCCTTTGCTACCTTAGAGTTTCCAACAATCAGTTAGTTCTAGGTCTAACTTTTGTAGTTATAATAAACAAGCTAATTCCTTCTTCTGTATGATGATACTTCAAATATTACAAGGCATCTATCATGCTTCCATTGCAGTCAACAACAGACCCCCCCAAACACCCCTCGTTTAGACTAAATAGCCTCTCCCTTTATGCATGCTTAATTTAACACTTTTCTTAAAGGACTGTTTAACACTTACATCTACCCTCAGTTATATTACTTCTTCCCACCTTTCTTACAAATTTGTGTTAAACCAGGGCTCAGCACATCTTTTCTGTGAAGAGCAATTTAGTAAATATTTTCAGCTTTCCAGACCACAACTACTCAGTTCTGGTATTGTAGCATGAAAGCAGCTGTATACAATATATAAATGAATGAGTGTGGCTGTGTTCCAATAAAACCTTACTTATAGATACTAAAATTTGAATTTTGTATAATTTTTACATATCACAAAAGTTTTCTTTTGATTTTCTTTCAAGCAGTTGAAAATGTAAAAATCATTCTCAGCTTACAGGCCATACAAAAACAGGTTTATTAATTAAAAACCCCAACAGAAAAATTG